AAAATAATATGAAATATGTGAAAGTTATAAAATGTCAATCAAAAAATGTATATATTTTATACAAACAGTACTATAAGTCGGGTGTATGTTAATTAATTAATTTGAAATTTTATATTTAACCACAGAATATTGTAAAGATAAATDATTGATAAAAAAAAACAATAATTTTTTAGTTTTAAAAATAATACTTTTGGCCGCCTAAAATCGTCTTTTATACCACTGTGCGGCGGCATACGATAACGGGAATACCTATCTACATATTATATAATTCACACGGGACAGAAATAAGAACATACAAAAATAAAACAATAATTACAACGGTGATTATGTGTGTGTGTGTGCATTCTCCGTGCCYGATATATTAATTTAAATGATATTGCTCGTAAATTACGTTGCGGCTGCAACAACTATAATAATATATATTAGAAATACATATTATAATATAATATAATTCATACACTTGATTTTCTTTTCATTTATTTATTATAATAAACGTAAAACGGATTTTTAAAATACAGCATAAAGAAATACAATGGTTCATTAATTAAACTTATTTTATTTTAATTGAGATTCACCTATTGTAAATATCACAATATACACTGTATTATATTGTAGTATGTTGTATTCGTTTAACATAACATATAATTAATATGATATTAATATTATGATCACTTTTTTCTAGAACATTTTTGGTTCGACTAGAACGTACAACAGTTTCAGATATGACCCATCAAATTATGTTAAAAGAGTTTCTGAATAATTTGCTAAGCAAATTCTCATATAGCGGACAAAAAAAGAAAATGATTTTCTCTACTCTTAATTCATGCGCTTTTAAATTAGGTAATTATTATTTTTTCAACTAATTATATTTTGAGCTTAAATTATTTAAAAATTAAAAGATGGAAATTTCATATTATATCATTATATTATAAGAAAATATTGTGTTCCATTATAAAATGATATTACAATACAATATGTCAATATGGTTGTAATGTGCTTATAGGTTATTTAAGTTCTAGTAGTTTTCATTAAAAATAATTCTAAGTCAAATGTTTTCTAATATTTTATTTTAAATTTTAGGAATGTTTGTATAACCACTATTATACTTCCTCCCCCTCTCATTATTTCTTCATAATTGTATTAACCATAGAGTAAAGAATATTATTTATTAAGTATTAACTTAAATATACCTGCATATTGAACTGTATTATATTGTATACTTTTATAATATATAAAATAAATAAGTATTTACATTTTACGCTTGTGTTTCAGAAACCATAAGAACTGTAGAAATGCATAAAAACTATATTGATCAAGAGATATTGAAACCAATGACATTTTTTACTGCAAATGCCGATTTCGAGAAGAAAAAAAAACTAAACAAAAACATTAATTTAATTCCTTAATTTGTATCTTAAAATTCATCGGTGTAATAATTTATTTTTACCTACCTAAACAGTTGTTATTATAAATATTTTTTTGTATTCAAATCTACTAAGAATTTTTTTTTGTGATACACAAATCAGGATAGTATTTATTATTTATATTCTATAACTAAATTATATTAGCATTTCTATTACTTAATAATTATATAATATAATATACTGTTTTATATAAATGTTAAAATAAATATTATTTAGTATGCCAACCCAACTGCATGTTTTTGTTTCAATATTTTTTATTTAAATCTTCCCAGAAGCCTGTTATTATCACAGCCTGTTAGCCATTGTGTTTTCACTACAAAAATGCATAGGTATATTGTATTCTAACCAAATGTGTCTTACAAATTGAGTGTTTGGGCCAGTAATGGATCTGAAGATCTTTTGAGGAGAGGGCGAATTGGTATCATAGATTGWTAGGTATACTAACAGTCGTAACTGAATACACATTTCCGATTTTCATATTTAAAAAAATACCTTTTTTTTTGTATCATTTATTTATAAGTTTAAAGTTATAGTTATGACTTACGAATTTAATATTCATTTTCTCTTACGGTGCTATAATTCAAGTAAAAAAAAAGCCCTAGAGAGCGGTAATCGCCACGTCACCCCTCCCCCCTCATATCCACCACTGGCGTGGGCACCCTTACAACTGCAACCAAAAATAAAATAAATTGAAAATATTGTCAACATAATTGTATTACATTTTAAAAATATCAAAGGAATATATTTTGAAAACATCTKTTTAGAAATATTTTAAATATAATTTAAAAAATATATTGAAAACCATTGCAAAATGTTTTGATGACCATTTTTTCCAGCCAAAAAACGTTTTTAAAACACATACAAAATATTAGTTGATTAAACGATGTCTCTAAAAATTAATTTACTTTTCAAAAGATATTTCAAAATATTTAGAAAACATAATTTTGCATGAATGAACAGCTTGAGGCAATCGAAATAGCACAATTCACCAATGAATATGTTGTCACAGCTAGGGTCGACACCAACGCGCACTCGACTAAATGGCTCTGCTCTGCCATGAATGAGAGAGGTCGACTCGACATTACGGAAGCGCAATATAGACAGGGAAAAGACGAGCTCTTGGAAAAGTGGCAGGGAAGATACGACGTTTATTATATAAAACATTAATGTTATTGTAACCTAATCATTGTAAATGCGATACACACATACATATATATATAGTACCTATATACATTATATTATAAAATGTAAACCATTATTGAATGTAAAACTGAAAAGCTATGACACTGTAAAACATATAGAATTTAAAATTGTAAACAAGTTGTAACTTGTAGATGTGAAAATGTAAAGTAACCATTGTTAATATTTATGAATTTCTGTCTTGAGGACAGAAACACTTTTTTTTTAGGGGGGAGGTGCTATGTACTAACGGATGTCCGGCTATGCGCTAAACACACATATACACGCATGTGTACACAAATGTCCCTGGGGCATATGATTTTACCAACAGGTAAAAGGTTCCAGATAGCTGGAAACAATTGAGATTTCGTATCGCAGATAGCAGGATGTGAATCGAACGGTCCGGCCGTGGGAGCGTATCATGAGATACAGCATCCTGGAGATATGCACGGACGCATTTGAACGATTCAACCGTGGGCATATATTTATCTTGTCGGTAGGAGAGGAAACGCAGAGAGTAGGACTATATAGGAGAGCCCTGAATAGCAGACTTGAGCCACCAGTCAGTGCAAGCACCTTCACGCTAGTCACCATTCCAAATTAATCATTTGAATTAAGAATATTTTCAATTAAATCATTCTTGTATTAGTAATAGTGTTTTATTCCCATCGCAAGCAAATAAATACATAATAATTAATYACAAGTCAAGTTGTTATACTTATTTCACCCAAACCATCTACCTCAACACAAGTCGTTCGTCATCCTGTACGCTGGGACGCTACAGTATTAAGTATTATTGAGTGAATTTATTAAGGCCGGAATTACAAGTCCTCGTTGTGGAAAAATATATTGAGAGAATTATTGAGTGATTTTCAAGCGAATTTGGAATTAAATAAATTTAAAATTTTTTGATTTAGAAATACAATTAACAATAGGTTTTAAGATAATGTATGCATATTATAAAATTAATTTTGCGTTTTGAATGAATATGATGAAACAATTTAATGAAGAAAGAAATTAAAAATTTAGAACTTTAGGAATCAGAAAGTAAAGTAGTATAACGGAGGAAGTAAAAGAATTTAAGGAAATCGAAACACGAATTAATTAATAAAGCAGTAGACGTTAAAAACAACGRAGTAATTATTACAAATTATAAAGACAACGATAATTTAAAACTTATCGAAAGCGAAGTATTAGTTGATTTAAGTACAGAAGAAGGTTATTAGTATTCAGTAAATTTAGATAGAGAGAAATATTTAAAGACGTTGAGGGAAAAATATTTATTAAACTAAGTATAAGACCAATTTTAGTAAACGAAACTGAATTAAGGCAAATAGGAACTCGTACTAAGCAGGGCTTAGTACATACTCAACTAGAACCATACAAGCGTAATACTAAAAAAAATAATAATTTATGGATTTTGCATTGATTGTGTGTTTTCTTCTTAATGGACATTCAATACAGACTGTTTCTTTTACAGTAGAACATTTTTTCAATTTCTTCTTGTTAATTATAGTAACCATCAAAAGCACATAACGAAAATACTGGGTGTTTTTGTACAGTCATATAATTAGGACATAACATATTTTTGCAAACATCCAATTCTTTATATGATGGCAATTTGTTGAATAGTTTTGTTGCTGTAGACTTTAATGTTCCTTTATGGGATATTATTATCAATTAGTTATATATTACCTGGGGATCGGCAACTGGCAGACCACGGTCCTAATCCGGACCGCGGAATGCAAAACTCTGGACCCTGGRACCCTGGACATTGTACTTCATTATGTTATTTACTGTAATAGTTTTATTCTTAAGGGTGGCGGACAGTTATTTTAGCCAAAACATCCAATTTTTATTCCATCATACTGATCGATGTAGTAATGCGATAATAATGTTTTAAACTGATTTGAATTTGTTATTATGTCTTTTTGAGATCGGTCAGTTTATTTTCCCCAATTTCACCCCCCTAACAGCTAAAAATTTGGTTTGAATATTTAGAAATTTCGGCATTTTCAAACGTTGATTATTCGGAATATAAATCAGAAATCATAAAATGTGAACTGACCGATCTCAAGTAGACATTATAACGAATTCAAATCAATTATAAAAAGTATTATCGCATTACTACATCGATCAATATGATGGAATAAAAATACATAGTTTTAGTAAAAAAAAAAACACACGTTCTGGATCGTTCATGCGCGTGACAGTACGGCAGTGACTTGTACCGCGCGTGCCGCGTGCGGAAGAGTTCCTCCGCCACTACCGTTCCTTCACCTATATCGCATGCCGYGGTCTGCGATAGATAGATTATAAATCGTAATTATATACTATTCTAGGTATTACAACGGTACAATTTATAATAAGATATTTAATATGTTGCGTATATTGATAATTTGGTATGAATGAAATATAATATAATAATATAACATGAAAATATGAAATATTGTTCATTTGAGCTTCGCCTCACGTCGTCAGTTCGTTACTACACTTGGACTTTGTATACCTATCAGTATATGTATTTTTTCGCTAGTGTAAAATAGTAAGATTTTTACGCACTTTTTTATTTAATTATATTTTGTTTTTATAAAACGTGAT